AGCAATATAGTGCAATGGATTGTCAGTTCCTTTTGTACCAGTGATGTTCAGGTTATCCCGTCTCTCCACTTAGAAGTTAAAAAGGCAGCACCCACAAGGCAGCAGATGGTTTAAATTCAGTGTTTTCCTTTTCCTAAACCGATTACAACCTAACAATATAAAACCCAGTCTGTCCTGCTATCCGCACATATCGGGGGGGGGGAGAAGAGATGGATTCATGCCTTCCCCAAGAGTATTAGCACATAAGTGAATGTAATGAACTCAAATGGAATTCAAACTCTCTGATTTCTCAATTTGAGCCGTAATCTTATGTCATTTTTTTCCAGTAAATGGCAATTTCCTATTTTTCTCAAAATAGACCAGTACAGCCAGGTAACAGTGTTATAACAATGCAGCAGTGAAGGTGTTAACCAAATTTTTTTAAAGTTTTAAACAAAAGAAAAAATATTTAGGGAAACGATCTGCTTAATATTTAAAAAATTATTTAATACTTACTTATAAAACAAACAAATCTGATTTTAACATTTTAATTTGTTTAGGAAAAAAATTTAAAAAATAGACATTCTAAAATATAATTATCAATTTACCAAGTTTTATCAAGATTCCTCAAACTGTTCTTCAACTATTTTGTAAATAGATAAATGCAGACAGAACTTATTATGATACCCTGCTTCACAATAGTCTAGATGAATGAACCTATCCTTTTTTTCTATGAAGAGTAATGACCAATGTTATGAGATCTAGGTTAACTGTTTCTCTATTTACTTGAGTCAAGATAGCAATTTATGGTGTGTAGTGTAGGCTAAATTTAGTTTGGTATTGCTGTGTAATGATTAGTGTTGATTTAAATTCAATTAAAGAATCTTGACCCTCATGAGTGCTTTGGTTGTTTTCATTAAAAGAAAATAGATAACCAAGGGTTGGTAACAAATACCGCTTCAAAGAGTAGAAATCCTGCTTGGAAAAATTATACTATAGAAATAATAATGCAGAAGACATCTTGAAAATTGTTCAGTATAATTAATTGTTAAAATCACTTTAGATAATTATTAATAATGCATAATGGTAACAGTTAAAATTTACACTGTCATAAACATTTTAATTGGTCTGCTACTTTAGTTGAAGGAATGACAAACAGAAATATAAACACAAACCTGACACAGGAGATGTGAGTGAAAGAAAACAGATTTGAATATATAACAACTTCATTAAATAGTAATTTCCATAGAAGAATTTAAGATATCATGATAATATATTCCCAATTCCAAAATAGGCTGGCCTTGTCAGCTATTTGAATTTAGATTTTTTTTTTTTCAAATTACCCACTGCTATTCCAGACTATTCATTTATTTTATTTTCCCTTTTTCTACATTTCTGTTTATCCTAATCCTCTCTCTCTCTCTCTCTCATTTTTTTGTACTGAAATCAAATTAATTTTAAATTAATTTTCCAACCTACCCTTTTATTCCAGACTTAAGAGTAACTTTTTTTTATCAGATTAAGTAAAGGTTCAATGAAAGTACTACAGAATAACAAGGTCAAGTGTAAATCAAGTGAAAGGAGAAAGACTATTACATGGAGTATGATAACAAATCCAATGTGAAAGAGTATAACTTCTTTAAGTTATAAAATTACAGTGAAATAAATGTTTAGCTTTTTTTTATGTTTTATTGTATTTGTACATTCTTCATCAAAAATAAATAGATTTCTTACTCAATGGATCTTTTTCTTTCTGCCATCATCTTAAAACTCTAAATCATCTCTGATCAAGTGATGTAAACAATTTTTATTCTATCAATTTATTTATAACTAGCTTAAAAGTCATCCTATTGGATGGCATTTAAGCTAAATCCTGCAGAGATCTCTTGATTGGGCCTTTTGCTCAACAATGACACTTCATGCATTGTGTACATATTAGATTTTATTAAACTTAATATTTTTCAAACAACAGTTTTCATCAAAACAATTATATAATTTATCTATTTGGGACTTATTGCAAAACTTCATGAAAAACAACATTTTTGGTTTTCCCATTTGAGGTCAGTACAAATAGCTTGTTTCTATTCCCAACCCTTGAACAACCAAAATAGAGCTGGCCATGAGAAAAGCAGGGTTCCATCAAATGAAGTCCAGTTACTTTCAATGATTGTCCTTGAGTCTTAATGATTGACATTGCATAGCTCACTCTCATTGGAAACTGAAGTCTTTTGAACTCAAAAAGATCTGGAGGAATTAAGGGGATTCTTAGAATTAAAACTCTTTCCTTCTTTCCTGAACCAGTATCTCTGCTTCCAAGAGATGAGGAAGCATCTTCTTGATAATTAATCTTGTTCTATTACAAAGCTTTAGCGGGTCCAGATTTCTCAATAGTGTTACTGGCACATTTTCTTTTAGTTCCAGTTTGTGTGATGGCATTCCAGGAGGATTTATTGAGTTCAGGAACTTTATTGGATAATTCACTGCCTGCTTTTGTTCAACCACAGTATCAATAGAAAAGTACTTCATGCTTTCTTTTGGAATTTCTTGGAGAAGTTTCCAGTTGATGCTATCCATAGTTTGATTCTTGGGAGCTTATATGGTCCTCTCACAAAGCCAATTTAAATCTATGAAATGGTGTTTAATGTTTGGATAAACATGGTTAATTAAGTCTTGGATACTTGAGACTGAAACTCCACAACCATTTGGGGGTTAAATATCTCCATTTTGGTCCATTTTGCCAAGATGCAACAACAAAGCAGCAAATCTTCCTGCTTCAAGGTCAGCTGTGATTCTAAATCTCATGTTTATTTTCAGGCTTTGAACATGGCTCCACATGTAAGAATTTTTCAGGCAAGCATTAATTTTATCAACTGGAGTTTCTCTTGCAATGACTGGTAATGTTTGTCTAAAATCACCAGAGTAGCACAGTGACTTGTGAATTCTGTCTAATGTCTTTGAGTGTTTTGTCCAGGGCCTCAAATGCTCACTTGTATGCCATAATACATTCATCACAGACAATGAAGCTTGTCTCCTCTAGTAGCTTAAGCCAAGTTGGTTCCTCTTTTGATGTTGCATATAGGGGTTTCATTGTAGTTCAAATCCAATGGAAGTTTGAAGATGCTCTGTGATGTATGCCCTCCAGATAAGAGGATAGCAGCAATTCCAGATGATGTTACTGTTAGAGTTACTTTTCTGTGGAGTCTCACTGCAGATAAAAGAAGGTTAGTTACAAAGATTTTACCTGTACTTCCAGGTGCATCCAAGTAGAAAATTCCTCCATTGTTGTTGCTAATATCATCAAGGATCTTCTGATACACTGGTTGTTGGTCTTGTTTCAACAAGGACTCATTGTTTTGAACACATTGCCACAGTTCTTCCATGCGGTATCCTGTTTCCCTCAAAATTTGTCCAGTTTCTTTGTTTGGATTTGGCAAACCAAAATAGCTGAGATCTCTTTGAGCCAAGTTCATCATTTTGTCTTCAGTTTCATAGAGAGCTAAAGTTGCAATTTGAGGATTGAATTCCAATCTTGGATAAGCAAGTCTCATTTGAAGAAGATGAGATATTTAAAAGTTAGTGCTGTGTCCCTTTAATTGAAAAAGTGTGACATACACAGACATTTTCACATTTATTATATAGATTTGAATTATTTAGAAACAGTTTTAATTTAAAATGTCAGTAATGTATGTTTTAAAAATTTAAATAAAATGGCAATGTTTATTTAAATGAAATGAGCAGATTTTCTTAATTTTATACAAAAGTAAACAAAATGAAACTGTTTGAGATTTCAAATGATTTTTACATTGTTGAGGACTAGAATCATCTATATATTCACCAGTTACTTGTCAGAGGTGTTGTGAGCAGATCAAACATGCAAGTCATTACCAGAGAGATCAATCCTCAAATGGTATCTGATTTTCATTGCCTTTTGGCCAGAATCTCTGCTGAGTACTTGCTGTAAAATAGTAGTTAGCAGATGACTTTTGCATGTCATTTCTTATGAAGATGATCCTCACCGAGTGTTGTTCTATTACAGTCTTATGCCAGTCTAGGCTAAACTTAGCAAATATTAGTATTAAAACTATTTATCAAGTCATGAAAATTTTTATCTTTACTGGATCATCTTTGATGCTTTTTAAATATCTATAGTCGTATCAATGAAAATGACAAGTTTTTTTTTTGTACTTAACAAGTAGCAAAATATGTTAATTAAAATCTTTTATTTCTGAATGTGTTTAGAGAATATTAAGTTACAAATTAGAACTTAATGATAAGAAAAAGATTAAAACTATTTAGAAAATGGTTGATTATAATACAAAGACAATTAGAAAAATTTTTAAAGACACAAGCATTTTATTTTCCCCCAGGATTTTATTGATACAAACAAGTAAAAAGAAGTTACTTTGTTTTTATAGAATATGAATAGTTGATGTTTTTAAGTGGTTATTATTGATTGGAAATAAACACTTTACTTTTCTTTGCATTTTTTTTTTTTTAATCTTTCTCTAATTTTTTTTAAAAATATAAATTTTTAGAATGTGAACATTCTTTTCAAAAGTGATTTTATTTGTGCTCTTGTGAATGGTTACAGTATTGGGTTGAAAGATATGAAGCCAGTTCCATTCTCTCATACTAGATAAGTACTGCTTAGTAGCAACAAGCATTTTGATGGGTCAATCTAAAGGTGAACTGAGTGAAACTAATCCATTTAATGCAAAAAACACCCCTAAAACAATGTTGTTTCAATCAATTCTATAAATTATCAGTGAAAAGAAATTAGCAATATCAAAATCAAGGAACTTTTTCAAGACTAGAATTGAAAGTCTTGTCTCCTAACTGATTCTAATTGCCAAATTATAAGCTCTTGAATCACTATGGGTAACTATAAATGCCCTGGCTATTCTTTTTATATAACTCTGATTTTTTGTTTTTTTTTAATTTCAGAAATAAAATTAGATTTTGTATCATTTCAGACTATATATTAGAAACTATAGAAAATTATTTTTTTAATTCTTTTGTAGAATGGAAAAGATAGCAACCCGGTCAATCTTGGTCCAAGTGAAAAACCAAGGTAAAAAGAAATTACATTTTATTATTTTTTATACAAATTGTGACATTTTTTTTTCTCTTTTTCTCTTCACCTTTGTTAATCTCTATGAATGTGTATGAATGGATATTTGTTGGGTAGATATAACTTTAGTATAATCAGCTTTATAAAACATCTATTGAGAAATAAACTTACCAACAATGGCTTGCAAAATTAGCATGCTAAAATATCAGTTTACAAATGTTTTTTAAAGGCTTGCTTGATATAAAAAAAAAAAGAATGATAAAATATTGCAAAACCAGTTGTTTTTGTATGTTTATCAAGAAAGTCACTGAAATGATAGACATTGATGCAACTAAACAACTAATCTTGTATGATGAATTTAGGCTTTATAATGTCCATTTTTGGTGGATGACTGGTTGAATTGATAGTGAAAATTGAGAATTGAGTTTTTTTTCCTTTGCTTTCCATAAAGATTAACAAAGATAAAAAATAGAATGGTAAGCATCATGACTTTTATGTATAGGCAAAGATATATATATATATATATATATATATATATATATATATATATAAGAGAGAGTGTAAGAAATAAAATGTTCATTTATCTATTTTGAGTTTTTCATAAATTGCATCTACTTACGCACACAAGTGATGTGAAAAAGTCTGCAGACTGAATGAGATTTTTTATGAGCATCTTGGTTTGGCTGAGAATTTAATATGACATAAAAATAATGACAATGCTTGCCCAAGGCCCTTTTTACTAATTATAATTGTGCATGAAAAGTAATTAAAAAAAGATAATTGAAAGAGAAATTAATAGCAGTTCACTTTAAAGACAATTTATAAGTATTTTTAAAATCATAAAACATAATCTTTAATCAGCAAATATTTTGTAAAATTTTGGTTTTAACTGAGATTTTTAAATACACATTAACTTATTTTCTGAAGGTAAAAATAGGAGATTATTTAATTTTTTTCCTTTCTTTTGTTTTCAGTGTGCGACCAAGTGATTTTGAGTTTTTGAAAGTTATTGGAAAAGGAAGTTTTGGAAAGGTAAATTGTTTTTCTTCTCTTTGAAAAGTTCTTTTTTTATTGTTTAAATAGGATATTCTTCTATGACAATTTAAGAAAATTTTTTTTGGTCAGCAATTACATAAATGGCAATAAAGTACAATCTTTGAATAGACATCATTTGCTAACTGTTTTTAAAAAAGAAAAATAGTGTTAAATAAAAGAAAAACTTTAACTTTTTTATGAGATATTTATGAAGTACAATAGTTTTGGAAAGATTGTTTACTTTAAAAAATGTATTAACAAGAACTTAATCACAAAATTGTTGATCACTCTAAAAGTAATTGTCTAAATGAAAATGTATATGTTACAAGTGCAAGAAGAAAAGACATTACCAAGTGGAGTCTCAAATTCTATTTCAAGTATTTAAAGAAGCCTATTCCTTGCAAAATATTTCTGATAACCATTTAAATAGTTCTCTTTCAAAAAAATAAATGATTTAGAGTGGAACAAATTCTTTAATGTTTAACACAAAAATGTTTCTTTTAAAGAAATAACAAGTTTGGGTTTTTGCTATTAACTAATGGTTATATATTTGAAATTAGTTTCTTAATAGATAACATCACAAATTACTGCTACAAGTAATAGGGTAACCGTATCTTTTGATACAATCTTGATACAGTTCGACTTTGCATATGTCTAGGGCTAAAGAAACATAACCATTAGATTGTACTAGTAGTTTTAACAGAGAGAAAAATACCAGTATTTTAAATTTTCACCAATAGCATCATAAGATTACAAGTTCTGCTACTAATTTCTCTCTCTCTCTCTCTCTTGTTCTAGCAATAAACAAAAAGTTGGCAACTCTTAATTCACTGAATAACAAATCATCCTTCATAAAATTTCAAATTTAACTTCTTTCCTTCCTTTCTTCCTAATGTCAGTTGACTTGATTTTTAGCTTTTCTCTCACCACTTTACACTTTTATCCATGTTTTGCAATTCTGTCTACAATCTGTAACATTGCTCCAACCAATTCTTTTTGTTTGGTTACTTATTTTCTTGTTTTACTTATATATACATACAAAAAAAAAATTTAATTTACAAATTCAGAAGATTAAACCTTGAGATATGAAGACTGACTTTATTTGTTAATTGAATATTGGTTGTCTTAGCATATTTTGAAATTGACCAATATCCAATTGCTTTGTTCAAGCTTTGAGCAAGAGAATAACATTTCTTCTATTAATAAGAGGGGCTTATTTCTTGAGAAAAGATTGTGAAATAACTTGCCTGAGCATTTAGATATCAACTAAATTTATTTGGGCACAAGGTAAATTGCAGATAAATAGAAGTTAGGAAAATTGTTATTTGTCAATTCTTCAGGTAGGAAAGGCCTGCTTGCCTTAAAAATTAGCATTAGCATTCTATTGGGCTCAAACTGAAATTTCTTTATGTCATCTTGCCTTATTACAGAATCACTAAATAATTGCTTTTTACAATAATACTGAAGTGTTGTTTAAAAAGAAATTATTTTCAATAGAATTGCATGAAGTCTGAAGGAAAATTAATATTATTCATATTCTTCCTACTGTGGGTTAACCCACTTGACTTTACCAAACTTAAGCTTATAAAAAGGTGTGAATTTCTGTCCCTAGTCTCTTTCACAGCTTTTCAATTCTGGTGGTCGCACGTGGGGAAAAAAATTCAATAAGAACCTAAAGATGAAGATTATATGAGGGGGTGCTGGAATGTTCTCAACCTGACCCACTAACCAAAATTAGTATTCTGATATTTTGTTATTGAAATACCGATTTTGAGAAGTGGGTAAAGCTGAGAAATTTTCAACACCCTTTTGTATAAATATTAGAATATAATTATTTGTAAGTTAAGAAGTTTCTTCTCTTGTTTTTTAAAAATTCAAGATTCTGTAAATGTTTCTAAAGTTAAAAGAATTATGTCCTGCAAGTTATACTTCCCAAGGCCTTTATTTTGATCCAATCAAAATTAGCCATATGGTAAATTAAAAGAAAAAATATTATTAATTAACCATTATTAATAAATTATTTTAATTTCTTGCTGTTTGTGTATAATGTTCTTAGTGAAGATTACTGTTAAATACTTTGTATCCTGCTTATTAGGATATGTAACTGAAATATATTACTGTCTTTGGATTTCCATGTCAAATATTGACTTTTTAAAAACTTTATATGCTATGGTTACATATATTACAACAGCTATTATGCGTTATTTTCAAATAAACTAAATGTTGTACTGATAAATCATCAGTTACCTCCCCTTAAGATCTAGGAGGTACAAAAAGCACCCTGTAATATTTGTTAGTAGACGAGTAGTCAGAATAACGTGCAATAAAGCTTTTGTATAAGTTTATTCACTGGTTCTGTTTTTACTAAATAAGTTATTCTATTTTTGTATTAGTTACACTGAATAAAATTTACTTGTTACTGTGTATTAAATTCCAGTTATTACCAGCATCAGCCAAGTGCTCCCACCAATAAGCTATCACTAGTTTGGACGATTACATAAGATAATGTTAATCATGCTTAATTACTATTTATGAAATGCTGTCTATCAAGATAGATCATGTCAGATTTTATAAAAAGCTGATTAACTGAATCAATCAACATGATTATTTTGTTTCTGGATAACTTATAAGCATTTTCAGATGTTTCCACCAATAGTTAACATAATTGTTCTAATTTATGTCAAAGTTCAGACATACAGTGTGCGATGGATGAATTGTTGCCTAAATTATATAAAAATGAAAATAACACGGACATCACATTTTAACAGATACATTTACCAAAGTTACACAAAAATATCTTGAAATACTTAAAAGTAAATTTATTCAATAAAATCACTTTTGGCTTCAACCATGGCCTCCAGACGACTTCATAATCTCCTGCAACCCTTCTGGATGGTTTCCTTGTTTAAGTTGGTGAATGATGCAATAATCCTTGCCTTCAGTTCATGTTTGTGGTTACAAGGAGTTTTATTTGTATATCGTTCAACTGCACACCACACATAATAATCAAGGAGGTTGAAAGTCTGGGGAGTTAGGTGGCCAGATGTAAGGGTGATGTAGTCTCCTGCTTGTGTGGCATGGTGCAGAATTCTCTTGCCAGACATAGAGTATTCCAGCAACCACCCTCTTGACCCAAGGCAGCAGTACATCCTCAAACTGCTACAGCACTACCTTCCCAAACTGCTATAATTTCATAATCATTATTAGACTCATCCAACTTTTTCTGAATCCTCTGCACTGTTTTCAGATTGACACCTAAACACTTGGAAATGATCATGCTGGAGCTTTCTAGTGCAAATGCCAAGCAGTACAGCATGCTGTTTTGAAATTTCTGGCAGAGTTAATTGTGTCACGGTGCTCTTTTTCTCACAGTCGACAAAATCAAAAACAAACAATGCACATGCATGAAATGAAAAATATAAAATGGCAACGATTTAGTGATCGCATACTATATACTACATATTTGAAGTATAAATTGATTTTTCACTAATAATTCCTGATAATTTTAAACTGTATCTTATACTAGAAAACAAGCATCACTTGTGAGTATTATACATAGGCATATGAAAAAAGTTTTACATCTAAGAAAATCTTTCTGTGTATTGAAAAGACGTGATATTTGGAAAATTATCTACATTTATAGTACTAATATCTCCCCTAAATATCAAGTCACTAAAAAATTTTTATCGTCCTAATAAACAGCACCAAGGTATATGCAAATGATTTATGTGTATTGAAGCAGAAATCAATGGGATCTCTGTCATCAATGAAATCAAACATGAATGTTTTCTCAACATGACATATGTATGATTTTGCAACACACTTGACACATATTTTTATCTCACTATAGACCACAAGAAATGCAATGAATTTAATCAGTGAGACATTGAGGGGCTAAGAAAAGACCTCATCTAACTGATAACATAAATGATACCATGACTTATAGGTATACATGCAAGTGAGAAATCAGAAGAGAGTTCCACAGGCAAGAAGTGCAAGAAAAGAAACTATTAGAACAGAACATATGGTTGGCATCTAGCTAGTTCAACAGTAAAATGTTGAGACCTACTTGCCAATCTAGTAGCTAAAATTCATGTCGCTGAGGCACAAAGGAGGAAAGCTCATTAGAACAACTGCCATTAAAATATTTGTCGAAAAGAATGAGGGAAGCTATGTTACATTGGTGAGAAAGTGACTGAAGTTGAAATATCAGTTCAGTGTCAATTACATTTCAGACTCTTCTTTGAATTTTGTCAAGAATCTCGAGATATATAGTAACCTCACTAGACTAGATATGACAGCAATATTCAATGCAGGGATGAAAAGTAAATGTGCAAGATGGATTCTAACATGAAAACTATCCTCGTAAAACATTATCCTTATTGTTTGATCTGTTAATACAAATAAAACAATTCTTTTCCCTTCATTTTACTTGTATTTTTTATTTAAAATGTGGTACTTACTTACTTTACACTCTGCCTCTTAAACCTGACAGAAGTAATGAGCTGATTAGTATTTAATACAAATATAAGATAAAAAAAAATGTAAACTAAGTGTAAAAATTTAACAATTTTGATACATGGATAAGCTAAACATTCATTCAGTTCATTAAAATTGTATTGAAATTATTGTTTATTCTACACTATTTTAAAATCCAGTAAAGAAAATTCATTAATATGAACAAATTTCCCAAATCAGTTTTTTTAGCAAAATATTATTTACATACATACTATTTTCTTCACATTTGTTGTTATAATCACAGCATTTCAGCCATTGTATGCTCTAGCCTTCATTGTCAATCCAGGTAAATTTCTGGGAATTTCAAACTGAACCTTTTATTTAAAGAACTAGATGAGATATTTCTAGACATAATCAACAGAATGAAGAATCTACCCCCATAAATTAAATAAAGGGATCAGTTCAAAATTCCCTGAAGCACCTGATGAAGGGCATAGGGCTGAAACTTTGTGATAATAACAACAAAGATGAAGAAAATA